TCATTATTGTCGGGTTTGAACCTTTGGGATTATGCTTTTAATTAATGATTATTTTGGAACTTATAAATGTTTAGGTTAAATTTGACAACTGTTAGTATTGCATGTGTAGGTTCTATCTGATATGTTTGTATGTTTGTTAAATTTCTCTTGGTAGTTAAGTAGCGTCCGTTGAGTTTTAGATTTTAAATTAGATTTGAAAAAAAAAAAAAATTGGGCGTTACACATGTTTGTCCCATATTTATTGCATTTTTTGTGTTTATTTTATTTTTCTTTTTCTCCTATTTTAGGTCGTTTCTTTAGTTTTTAGTCCGTTTCGTGTTTTATTATGTATTTTCCTTCATATTGAGTCTTTAGGTGTTTTTCGTTTGTTTTTCCGATTTTCTTTTGTATTTTGTCGTTTTTGGTGTGTAGGTCGGGAGCTTCGGAAGAACTTTTTCTTCAGGAAAAATTGGTTTCAAGAGCATATTTGAATAGAGGGGTTCGTTGGCGATGCGTAGGAAAAAACGGCGCTCAATTCAGAGTTCGAACGAGCTCAAACGAGGCCAAAACGTGAAGAGGCGCAGTGCAGTCCAAGTCGCGAGCCGCGACCGTGCCCGCGACCCGCGACTAGCCCCACGCCCAGCGCGCGCGCCCCCAGCGCCCAGCATCTCGCGCCTCGCGACCAGCGTGTCGCGCCTCGCGAAAAAAAAAGAGACGCACAGCCCCAGCGACCCAGACGACTCGTGAGTCGCGACTGGGCCATCCCTAGATTCCGAACCGCCTTCCTCGAGAGATCGACCGGGAGAACGAATCTTTCAATTCGGTACTCGGTAAAAATATATTTTGCTACAACAACAACACATACACACACAGTCGCATAGCCACCTGAAACAGACCTGCCACCCGGCGTCGGCTGCCGTCCCGCGATAGTCGCCGCCAAAGACACATACAACCCAAACGCTGTCGGACAGCACCATCGGCGGTCTTGGTTTCCGCCGCCGCCACCAAATCATAGTCGTCGGTGCTGTCGTCACCACCACAATCTACCACGGCTCCACCGCCACCGGCTCGACCATCGCCGTGATCTGACGTCAAAGTCACATCCATTTCGCCGTCGACAGCCGGGTGCAAGTTTCCATCACCGACTTCCAGCTCCTCCGTCAAAACACATCGCGCGAAGCCGCTGTGTCTCCAGCACCCTCTGTGAACCAACAGCTCTTCCGTCGTCGTCGCGTGTCCAAGTTTCAGCCAACTCGATTCGGCCGTGCAGCCTTCGCCTGGGCGGATTCCAATAGCTCTGTTCCACCATTCACTTACACTGACAATCGGACTGCTGAGATGCGCGCATCCGGCAATGGGGGATCTGATATGGGCCAATTGTGGTGGGATGATGCTGGACGATGTTCAGATGCAGAAATTCTTCAGATGTAGTCGAATTAGGATTAGGTTAGGGATGATTTAATGAAAATTAGGTAAGTTTTAGGGACAAATATGTAATTTTCAAATAAATTAATAATATTGTAATTAAATTAGTGGTTTAAATATTCATTTTGCTAAAAATATTAATAGATGTATTGTTAAAAAATAATATATATTATGTGCATGGGTATTCATATTAAATTTTCAGAAATGTTAGTATAATTAATTTTAATTGATGGATTAAATATGAAATTTATTAAAATTTTAATAATGACACATTCTTTCAGATGCAATGCACAACAACGATAAATAAATTCGAATTGAAAATTTCGACAGAATTGGATTAATTTGTCGGTTAACATAAATAACTAAAATAACCGATATAAATTATATTATTTATTATACAAGACATGATTAGTATTTAATATGTTTTTTAATTGATATTTTATATTATTTTTTATTAAAAAATTGGTATGCATGTAAATGAAAAGTATTGTTCAATCTAACAGTATTATTCTTATGGATATCCTTGAAAAGTACAGATTGTTCACTGGACAGAAAGTGAATCTCCAGAAGTCAGGAATTTTTTTCAGCAGAAATACTCCTCAAACCTTAAGGTTCAGTATCTGCAGAACCATGAATGGGATCCAAACTCACAGGTCTACAAAGTACTTAGGCCTGCCTCTGGGGTTGGGCAGATCCAAGAAGGAGGTTTTCTCTTATTTGCTTGATTCCATAAAGAGCAAACTACAAAGTTGGAAGTCAAAATTGCTCTCTACAGCAGGCAAGGAAATGCTTCTTAAAGCAGTCATCCAGGCTCTGCCTTTCTTCACAATGACTTGTTTCAGATTGCCATTAACCATTTGCACTGAGATTTCTAAACTTTGCAGCCAATTCTGGTGGAGCAAAAATGACCTTCAAACTCAGGGGTTACACTGGAAAAGTTGGGACAAGATTTCACTTCCAAAAGAGGATGGAGGACTGGGCTTCCATGACATCAGATTATTGAATGAGGCTCTCATCTGCAAACATCTATGGAGAATAGCCACACAACCTAACTTGCTTGTGAGTAGGATATTGAAAGATAGATATTTTCCTCATACTTCCATTTTCAATGTGGGCAGAACACAAGGTGGTTCATGGACTTGGAATTGCTGGCTTAATGTTTTACCTATCTTATCAAAATGGTTGAGAACTGAGATAAGAGATGGTGCAACTACTCGAATTGAAGATCTGAATTGGGTGCCCACACTCTCAAAACCAAAACCAGTGCTTATGGAGCTGGCAAGAGATCATCTAATCTGGGTGAAGGATCTGATGTTGGATAATGGGTATGGCTGGAATGACTGGCTGGTTAAACAAGTATTTGATGAGGAAGATAGCAAACCCATCCTTGCAATTCAAACTTTAAAAGCTGACAGACCTGATAAAATGTTCTGGAGTCTTGAGAAGAAGGGCATCTTTACAGTATCCAGCACTTACTCCTATTTGGCACAGCAAAAGCTGTTGAAGATGGACCAACCTCAATCCAGCAAGAACATTGAAAATCACAAAAAAGCCATTAAAAGATGCTGGCATTTGAAGGTGCCTGGGAAACTCAAACATTTCCTGTGGAAGTGCCTATCTGGGACCTTGCCTGTCTCTGTAAACCTGTTGAGAAGAGGATTAGAAGTAGACACCACATGTGTGTGCTGTGGGGAAGCTCCAGAGACAATTGAACATCTCCTTTTTCACTACTCTAGAGCCAAGCTGCTTTGGGAACTTTCTCCAGTTTACTGGGATGGTTTATCTGCTGACTCTGACTCCTTTAACCATTGGTGGCAACAGGTATGCTTACTGGACAACTCTGACACAGTGGAGGCAAGAATCCAATTGACCACCTACATGCTATGGTGGCTTTGGAGATCCAGGAACATATGGCTGTTTCAAAAAACTCCCATTCCAGTAAACATTGTTTGCAAATTGGCTCAAAAAGACTGGGTTGCTTTTTCTCCTGTTGCTTAGGTTTTTTTCTTTGTCTCGGTTGTTGTTCTTTCTTTGTCTTTTCTTTGGTTCTTTCTCTGTTTTGGTGGTGTTGTTAGACTTTGGAATTAAGTGGTTTATGCTAGGCATTTTGGCAGTGGCTAAATTCTTAGTTCTGGTGATGTATTTTTCATATTTAGTTGTTGTCCTTTGTTGAGGTTCTAGGCCACTTTGTAAGTGTGCCTCTCATTTTTAAGATTTCGGGCTATATGGGGTTTCCCCATGGATTGTATTATGAACTTTCTTGTGAGTTATATAGATCTTTCTATCAAAAAAAAAAAAAAAAAAATCTAACAGTATTAATGTGCAATTCGTCCAACACAATGGTGCGTGCACATTGTCGGTCTGTATTGTGCAGATTGAACAAAACAAACATAATTTTATTAGTTTATTCGGTTAGGTTAGTCGAATTATCATAAATAATCGATAATTTTCTATTTATATTAAAAAATTATATTTAATATGTTAATAATTTCATATTATTTTCGGTTGAAAAATTTTGAGTTCGGTCAGTTATGATCTCTATTGTGCAATCTGATCGTTGTGATAAGTTGCATAATGTCGTTTTATAAAATGCAACGGGTTTTTTTTTATAAAGTGCAACGTGATATTTTATAAAGTGCAACGCGTTGTTTTAAAAAGTGCAACGTGTTGATGTAGAAAGTGAACTACTGCAGTTTTGGTAAGTTAGTATGCGTGTGTTTTGTTTAGATAAATGATGTGAGTGGTGTAAAAGTATTATATAAATCCGTTTTTTAGATTTATGTTGTGTAGTATTTGTGCGGGAGCTGTCGACGTTAATGGTGTTGTATGGTGATAAAGTGAAACGCGTTGTTTTAAAAAGTGCAACTTGTTGTTCTATAAAGTGCAACGTGTTGATATATAAAGTGCACTACTTTATATGATCACATATACATTATGTGTTTTTGAAAACTATATTTAGTAAATATAATTGTACATCGATTAACCTAAATAATTGAAATAATTTATTATTATAAAAATATATTTATTATTTTGATATTTTTATGTATTAAAATTTTACATATTAAAATTATTAAACATTGGTACACTTTATTTTTCATTAATATGCATTTATGAGAATATTACTACAAATTACATATCTCATCATGGACTAAATTAAAAAAAATACTCAAGATTTATAAAATTACAAAATTTCCTTCAACACTATCTATATTTTTTTTTAAAAGGGTCAATAAAACCCTAAATCCCTAATTTGAATTTATTGAAATTATTATTTATATATAATAATAGATTTAATATTTTGGTTGGAAAAATATATTATATATGTTAATATGTTTATTTATCTTTTTATATTATTTTTGTTTGAAAATACTTAATAAATATGTGCATAAAAAAATATAAAATATAATAGTTCTTTATATAATTTTATAAATTACAGATTGGCCCATGAGTTAAATTGAAAAACAATCAAGTATTTGAATTTGCAAATAGGACCCTCATATTTATCCAAATCTCAAAAACCCAACCCAAAAAAAAAAAAGTTTGCAATCTGTTCAGCCCGTCTGCGCCATCCCTGTCTCGTTGGCCTCCCGTCGTCCATGCCGAGAACGTCCACGCCACCACGCGCTCTGTCCAGAATTTGAGCTCTGGCGCCATTCCTGTTTGTGCAGAATCCGTCTGTGAAAGTAACTCCGTTGGTTGTTTGTGCAGGCGATTGAGGAAGACGGAGGTGGTGGAAGAGGCCTTGGCGAATAGAGGATGTCGGCAGTGGTGGGAGATGAACGGTTGGACAGAGAATGACGGCGGTAGCAGTGGTAGGCAGGTGGCGGAGACAGAGGTTGGCCGTTGGCAGCGCCGGATGTCGGCCGGTGGCAGCTCCAGTGGTAGGTCGGTGGGGGCTGAGACTATGTTGTGTGTATGTGTGTGTGTGTGTGTTAGTGAGAGAGAGAGTGGTGGGTGGGTTTGAACATTTAATTGGGATAGGTAAGAGTGAGACAGCTGGTGCCCACTGGTTTGATTGATTAATTATGTATTAAGAGTCTAAACTATCCTTACGAGTGTATAAATACTGAATTTTTTTAATATGTTGGATCACCTGATCCAATGACCACGATGTATTCTTATATAAGGGAATTTATTGTGTAGTCCAACTTTGGGTTTCAAAATTAATAGTCAAATAAGTAATTATTCATAACTTACCAGTCAATATTAACTTGGATGTAAATCAAGTTAAATAAATTACTCAACTACTTTTTTTAATTTAATTAATGAAATAATATAAGATTTATAATTATATTGGTTATTCACATATTTTTACATACCTGATAAAATTTTACAAAAATCAATATTTTATGGATCACATTATAGTCATATTAAAATTCAGAATAAAAATTTTAAAATGACACTTATTTTTAAATGAATATAATTTAGTTTATTATCACATGCGTCCACCGTACGAGTTGTATACTAATTTTAAATAGACATGTTTTATATAATTTTGTACAATCTAAAATATAATTAACATTTTCAATAAATTAACATAGATAAATTATATTACATATTGAATTTATATTTTTAATTTATAAATATTAATGAATATCTTTTATCTGTGAATCGCACAAGATTCGTATAGTATGAGTTGGAAAGATTCGAAAAGGCAAACAATATTCTTGAAACAATTTTTCATAGTGGAAAAGCAAATGGCGCTTTATCTACGGCGGATTTCATATTGTAATAGCAATCTATGAACACTACCAGGAAAACCCTTGAAGAAGTAAACCACATGCAAAAGCTGAGAGGCCAGTCAGAATCAAGAATCTAATCCTCAATATTAATAATAAATAAAGATCCACAACAAAAGAAGGCAAAAGCAAAAGCAAAAGGAAAAGCAAAACTTAAAACTTTTGTTATATTAAAGGTTAGGGCATGTTCTTACTATGCTACAAAATTGGAAGAGAGTTTATGAATGTCTCAAGCATTTAAGTCATTGTCTGCACTTAGCACCAAATAGCCCTTACATTTTTTGCTTTTGACAGTATCAGAATTCAGAAATAACATTTGATTATAAAACTATCCTTGAGGTGGATCAGTCGATGCTATCCGTAAGGGTAGTACCCGCAAATTTTTTATTTATTTAAAAATAAAAAAAAATGGACAAAAATTAAAAAATAAAAAAATGAGTGGAAAAAAATAAAAAAGGCGTATTCTATAAATTCGTTTTACATTAAAGAACGGATTCGGAAAATACGTTTTTCATAGTAAAACGTATTCTAACAATACGGTTTACTAAATAATAATTAATTAACATAATTAATGTAATTAAGTTAATTAAATTAAGTAAAAACGTATAGAAGAAATACGTTTTTAATTAAAAACGTATTATTGCAATACGTTTTATAATTAAAACTAATTTCACGATTTTTTTTAATTGTAAAAAATATTCGTAAAATACGTCTTTTAAATAAAATTAATATTAAAATCATTAAAAATAAATTTTCTGTGGAAAATAAATTTTGAAATATAAAACGTATTTTATAAATACGTTTTTTCATATATAAAACGTATTTTCCAAATACGTTTTTAGTGTAAAATCAATTTTCCCCCAAACGTATTTTATCAATTTTCACTGCAGAAAAATGCAAAATATTTTTTTGGGATCCATTTCACAACCTGTTCAACAAATCAGAACCTGTTCAACCAACTAATATGAATCAATTCTCCAAAAAAAATCCAACATACACTATATACCAAAAGTCAACCACAATAATTTATTTAAAACACAAATATCAGTATACAGAATGAAAAAAAAAAACAAATATGTTCATAAAATTCCCTGAATACAACACAAATTAATTAGGAGTGTATCGACTCGTAGGATTGCGCTGTCGGTGGTTGATCCGACGTTGTGGTTGTTGTGAAGAAGACGATGTTGTGGGCGTGACAGGTTCTTCTTCTTCTTCTTGTTCTTCTTCACCTGAGTAAATCATTTTTTTTTAAAAATCACAATAAATAAAAAAATACAATAAATAAAATTATTTTTGTGTTAAGTTAAAAATTTTCACCTTCTTCTTCTTCTTCTTCTTCCTGAGGCACGGTGTCGGCAGCGGGTTGACGGTCGCGTCGTCTTCTACCTCCACCAATGTTGGGAGAAGGTCGATGTCTCGCCCGGTGTGACTGCGTCCTCTGGGATCGAATGTAGCTCTCCTGCGAGAGAACTTGGCTCGACGACGTCCCTTGTGCGACGTCTCTGCCTCTGACAGCCAGAGAACTGTATAGAAGGCTCTTGGCCTATTGGAGTGCCGCCAACACATCTGGATGGAGTGTATGATGTAGGTGGTCCACGTTATATAACGTGTGAAAAGCACCCTCCATGGCGGTAACCTTGAAATTAAATTCAAAATCAATTATAATGAAAAAAATAAAAAAAAATTATAAAATAATAATAATAATAATAATAATAATAATAATAATAATAATAATAATAATAATAAAACACAAATATATATTACTTACATCGCACTTTCCCTGCTCGGCAAGTGGGTGAAAGCCTCTGTCTGGTTGGGGCACCGCGTACTTGGCAGGGTCACCGAGTAGTCTCACAGTGATACTGTGAAACCAATCAAGGTAACCCGGCTCAGACTCAATGAATGGCTCCACTGCGAGGGCTGGGACAATATTTTCGTCTCTATGTTCGACCTAAGCATTCCCAAGCTCTCCGTGAAATGCGACCCAATAAAAAACTGGCCTCCCAGTCATCCCCTAGCCTCGATGGTGTAACTGATATTCGGTCTCAGTTGTAATGATAGGAGGCTCGGGGGTGGACTGCCGGCACCCGAACTGACGGATGACATATTCGTTGTCAATGTGCCCCATCTGCGTCCTTGATCTTTCAATAGGTTCCACTTGTTCAAAGGAATTCGAAAAAGGTAATTGTGTGCTTCGGAACTCAATGCCAACAGTCGCTGTTCTGTCCCTCAAAACTTTCGCTCCGACAACTGCGACCCCAATTCCCAACACCAAGTCCGAATTTTCTTACTCCTGAACTTAGTTACCTAGTTGCTTCGAAGGTGTCGAAGGCAAATTCGGTGATACGCAGCGGGTTCTTGCCAATTTGCTAATGATTCAATGGCACTGAGTAGGTCCGCATCCCTGTCGGAAAGAACGCAGATCCGTCTCTGGAAGACTACATATTGCCGCAGATTCCTAAGGAAAAATGACCAACTGTCCGTGCTTTCTTCATTGACAAGCGCATACGCGACTGGCAATAGGCTCTTATTCGCAGTCTGTGTAGTGGCCACAAGAAATTTTTCCTTGTAGGATCCACGCAAATGTGTGCCATCGACGCTAATAACCGGCGGGCACATTTGAAAAGTTTGAATGGCGGGACCAAATGCCCAGAATACAAATTTGAATTGTCTGTCTCGAAGTTGTTGCGCCATTTCCCCACCCTGCCATTCCGACTCTACAACTGTGAAGGGATTCGTTCTTTGAAGCGCGGAAAAGTACCTACACATTACAAAACGGTTTCATAATAAATAGATAAACATAGCGACAGACAAACAACACATATATTTGTAATTAATTTTTTCTTACTGAGGGAGTTCTTCAAAGTTCGATTCCCGAGTGTCATACACACTCTCGATGGCTTTTCACCTTCCGTGCCATGCCTTCTTGTAGCTGACATCCACTTTCCAACACTGTTTCACATCAGCCTGGATCATATGTCAACGCCGTACTCCACTTTCTTTCGAATCTTATTACGAATGAGATTTGAAATCATTTGGGCGGTTACATTTCTGTGGTCATTTCTCTCGACCGGTTGCATACAAGTGTGTCTATCAGTCCATTCAGTTAGTTCCCACATTTCATGAACCCGCCTGGACTTAGTCACCCGAGCCTTCCACACACAAGGCGGATCTTCACTAGATCTGCAGACCACTTTGTATGACTTTTGATTTGAATCATTTACCCAAATCTCCCGCAATCTATCGACGTTCCAACCCATTAAAGCCATTTGGGCTTCTTGCTTGCTCCGAAAAACTATACCCAAACATATGGTCTCAATGTCGCCATTCCAGCGTGGAATAGCATACTTGTCCTCATCTATCCTGGACGGCTCCCATTCACCCATCTCGCGGTATACGTGTAACACCCCGCTTATCAGAGTAAATTTTTCGCAACTTTTTCTTCGAAAATACTTATAAATCTTTCAAAATCTTTTGCGACTAACTCGGGATGCTACTCAAACTCATCTTTTCTAAAAATCTGTTTATCTTTAAACTTTGTCTAATACTTCTTTACACATAAAGAAAACAGATTATTTAAACTTGCATTTAACTATACCATATTCATACTTATGAAATGATAAAAACTTGAAATCTGAAATAGATTGAAATGCAAGTTCAAGTCTTAATATGCGTAGCGGAAATACTTAAAAACGTGGTTTATTATACAGACATATCAAATACTTTATAAATGTCCACTTGAAATAAGTGCACGACCACGCCCACCACTGTTCAGCTCACACCTCCGTCCCGACTCTGTTACCTGAAAAACACAATGGGGGTGAGTACTGATCCTCTTGTACCCCAAAAAAGACCCATACTAAAGTAAACAACAATAATAATACAATATCATGATCTTTGGTATATATATCTTGACTGGAAATCTGTTCCAGTAAATGAAACTTTACTCTTTCTCTTTCCGACATCTGATCGGATACTTGTGCACAATCTGATGGATATTTCTTAAGGCAACTTGGGGCCTCCATCAGAACTTAGAATGTACTTGTAAGGTAACTTGGGGCCTTCATCCCAAGCGTTAAAACTTAAACTTTATACATACCTCGGACATGATATCAATATTATGCTCAATGTAATACCCAGTCTGGGTCCCCACCTTTCTTCTTTTGAAAACTTTTGAAAAAATGTAAGTGTTGCTCTTGGTAGCTATATCTGCAAGCTACATAAAAATATAAACAAATATACTAAGTACTATGCTCATATACTCAATAAGATTTAACTCTTACTTATCCGAATCTTAAAGATATTCAATAAACTTGTTTTTTCTCAAGTTTATACTTAACTTCTCTTTTTACTTTTACTTAAGGTCAATTACTTAACCTTATATAAATCATGTCTTCATAAACATCAATATGGTATTATACTTAGCATATCCTAATTGAAATGTGAAAATAACTATATTTCACATTATACTTGATTGAGTATTTAAACTTAACACATGCTTTCTTTTACCAACATCATCAACATGATTTATAACTTATCTTAAATTTACTTGATCAAATACTTAATTCATCATACATCATATCTCCCAATTTTTAGATATTGGCTTATACTAAATTTTCACTTAATTAAATTGAAAGTGAAAATAATCTCAAGCCATAATCATCTTTTACTCCTAATATTTAATCATGATGTTAATATGTCATACTTAATACAATTTTGTATACTCAACATATTATACCAAAACATCATCAAATTACTCATCACTTATATGAGAATTATTCATGATCATCTCATTTTAACAACTTAAACATTTCATGAATATTTTTGCATATATACTTATCTTTACATATATGCTTTCTTATATTCATAACTTATTTATGTCTCATCTTTAAATTATGAAACTTAACAGTCATAATCTAAACTTATATTTAGACATGTCATAAAAATTTCATAATTTTATCATGCATATATCTCGACTTATTCAAGTTTAAAGTTGCTGCTGGAAACAAGTACATAAAATTCAGCTTGCATGATAAACTTTAAAAATTCATTTCTTGAGTTATACTAAACTAAATGACTTGATTCTTGATCCTATGTACTCCTCTTTTATACAAGAAATAACCATAGGAAGCATAGATTTCCAGATTTTTCATAGCTATGTAAAAATCTCATCATAACTGAACACATATGACATATATATAAGCTGGAAATAACTTATTTTCTAGCATACTTATATTCATATAAAACTTTAATATCTAAGTCATATTAAAAATATTATTAAACACTTAATATCATCTACTAAACATGTAAACTCATTATCCAAACATGAACATAAGCATGTAACTTTAAGATAAATAATTACCTCCTTCTTGCTAGAGTAAAAACTTGATTCTTTACTTCAAATTCTTCACTTCTCCAAAGTTTCTACTACTCAATCTCTCTTACACTCTTATATAACTTTTGGTACTTAACTTTGGTGTGAGAACTCTGATTTTTAGGCCTTTATTTATAGGCACAAATTGGCAAAACATCATAATGGAGTGAAGAAATGAACAAAATAAACAATTTAAACTTATAAACTTAATTAATCATAAAAAAATGGCCTTTCGTTATAGCCATGAGTGAGATTTTTGGTAGATAAAACTTATTCCACCAAGTTTAATAAAATTCTCATCAATTGTTGAAAAAAAATGCTAACTTAAAGACTTAGCAAAACTTTGTTGTGATTTTCTCATCTCATTCTCACCAATTGATGACCAAAATTTCGTGCTTAATGTGATGTAATTGATTCCATATATTATTGAAAAAATGTCACCATTCATCATATAAAAATCTTTGGAACAAAATAATAAAAATAATAATTTTTTTTTTTTTATTACTTATGCATTTTTTTTCAAAATAGCTGATTTTTAAAACTCTTTTACTGAAAAGTAATGCTCATATCTTGGATCATGCTAATAAACCGAGAATAATACAATTTACGGAATTCAATTCGGACTTAAAACGAACGTTTACCGTAAAACTGAAAATTCTAAAATTTAAATCCTTTACTCACGATTTTTCTTCAATTTAATGAACATATTGCTTCTTAGGATCTAATATAATTATCTTGGAATATTTTACATTTACGGAACCACATTCGGACTTAAACCGAACGATTACCGTAAAACCGAAAATTCTAAAAGTTTCGGTTTCTCTTAAAATAATTTAAATAGAATATAATGTCTAAATAAATTCTCTCACTTCTTTGAACATTTATCACTTAAATGTTCATAGATACTTAACTGCACTTCGAGACTTAACTTTGATCAACTTATGCTAAAACTCAATATTATGATCTTATCTTGATGACTTAAACACTTAGAAAAATTCTAAGTATTTAGTACTAAGGCTCGGCTATTTCTTAATTAAGTTCAACTCATGACCGAACGTACTTGGTTTCAGTTCACTACTTATCTTAAACGATTAATCAAAATATACTCAATTTCGATTATTCGTCATCTTATATTAATTAATCCCGTCTTATTAATCCATTTATAAAAATAAACAGACCAGAATTAATTAATTACTGAACGGGCTCGATTACTGAATAATATTGAACCGAGAATACTTTCGACTTAAAGTCGATTTTTTAACTGAATAACTTAATAACTGGCTCGAAACTAGGAACGAGAATAAATAAAAGTAATTAGTTCATACTTAGAATAATTACTTTTATTAATTACTGAATGGGATATTACAATACGTGCCGACCACCACTGGGAAAGGGGAATTCTTCTTCAATGAACTCGGCTTCACTCTCCTCATTCACCGATCTATCTGATTCGGTTTCTGAGGTCTCGTCTGTGAAATCATCTTCACCCAGTGCGAACTCTTCGTCACTTTCTTCCCCGTCCTCATTTGCCTTTTCTCTAATTGGTGAGCTTGTACTGTAATGCCCCATTTATTTGTTGTTTATTTGTGGATTATTTGGAAATTATTATTATTATTATTATTATTATTATTATTATTATTATTATTTATTGAATATCTAAATATTATATGCTAATTGTCTAAATGCCTAAATGATTTTTGTTATTAATATTATATGTGTAAAATGTGTATTAATATATATATGTAAAATAAATATATTGTTCGTTTATTATTTTATCGAGCCCAAGAAGCAGAACCATATAAATTCTATGTAGTCGGGCCCGAGAGCTGATTCGTTATATTTAACCGAACCCCCGAGCCCGATAACTGCCGGCCCAACCCGTTAATTCGGCCTGTGAGTGTGTGTGTGTGTCTTGAGGACCAAGAGAGGAAAACCCTAGCCTTTTAATCGCGCCCTCAGCATCACTCTCGTCATTAAGCTGCAGAAAAATCTGCTCTCTCTCCCTCATTCGCAAACCCACGCTCCTCCATCTCATATCTCGCCCAATTCTCCTTCTCAGCCAAAAATCGAGCAGATTGCAATCGTTCTCTCCCTCATCATCAAATTGCACCTTAGCCGGAGGGGATTTCAATCGCTGATAATCCCAGCGACCCTATTCTCTCGCCGTCATGTTGAAATCTGGAATTTTTCCTTCGCCGTGGGCGACCCGTCACTGCCGGAAGACAATCCGCGAACCCTTCATCAACGAGCAATAGCGGCCTACCTCGTCCATTCGCGAGCAGCACCGCCGACGAACAAGCCGAGATAAATCCTCGTCGACGACCTTCAACAAGAAACGACGATCGTCTTTCATCACCATCGCCGACCCTCCTCAGCCGCGCGACTCTATCTCCGCCAACTGCGGGCCGCCGTGATGAGCAGCGAGTTTCGGTCGTTCGTCCGATCCTTCGAGCAGTAGCAGGTGTTAAACCCGAACAGTAGCCCTATGCCGACATTTTCTCTTCAGTCGGTCACAAGCCGGCGACCTTCGAGAGTAGCGGCTCCTCCGTCGGCCTTCATTTAGCGGCCGGGACAGCAGCGGCAGCCCTTTCGGGCCCGTGCAAGAAGAATGGCAGCCGTTCGAGGCTCTTATCGAGCAGCCATTTCCCTTCGAACCTCTTGTGAGCAGCCCGTTCGTGCGAGAAGAGATAAGGGCCAATCCTTAGCCGAGAACAGTAGCCGCTGCTCCTCTTTCCGGCGAGACGCGTGAAATCGTCGAGCCTGTTCGAACCCCTTTCTCGCTCGTTTCTCGAGAACGGTATCGATTCTCGACTTGTCGTTTAGATTTACGTGAATAATATTATTATCGGTTGTGCCTAGCGTGTTCGTTGAATGAATATATGTGTTATGATGTTATGTGGAATTGTTTAAGTGTTATGATTTTATGTGATCGTTTGATGTCGTGTTGGTATGTGTATTTCGTCGATTCGTGCGAATCGAACGAGAACTCGTAAAAGTGATTAGTTGCTGTGGATTTAGGAACTTAGGATTATTTCGAACACAATGGTGCTGACCTTGTGTCGATTGGAAGTGTATAATTGCCGTTATGATTTTTCGAAGTTCTTATTGGCTGTTTCGAATGAAAAATTCACTATAAATCGAATACTAGTCCGATTTACTTGAAATTTTAGGAGCAGCTGGTTTTGATGAATATGTTGCTGCTATAACATTTTCGTGATTTTTAAAGGTGTTTAGCTATTTTTAAAAATTAATTTGTTTTCTGTTCAGTTTCTTGTAAAATGTATAATTAATTGCGTAGTGTTCTTTTCTGGCCAATTTTCTAATATGTTTTGTTCCAGGCTTGATTATATGTTGTGTAAAATTTTTAGAATTTGTGAATTAGGTTTGATAGGGTTAATGATTTAATTGGTTTTTCTGCACGAATTTGTTTTAGTTATTATAAATTGTTCTGAAGCTGAAAAATTCTTAAAATTTGTCGAAGTTCTGATTATGTGATGTTTAGCATGCTGTAAGAAATTTAAAATTTTTGGAGTTCAGTTGTGATCGGTTTTGATATAATTGCGATATTTGGGCTGAATGTTGTTTTATTTTATAAATTGATATACTGAGTGTTGGAGGCTGATAAATTTATGTTTTACTGTTCACATGTTGTAGTATTTTAGATAAACATTTGATAGTCTGAATCGTCCATTATCATGTGCTTTTAATTTAAACTCATTTTTGCTGAAAAACTTGTTTGAATTTTATAAAATTATGCATAAGGAGTTTGAAGCTGAAATCGGGTGATCTTACTTAGAACTGGGATGTGAAATTTATGATCAAGTTTTAGAACCTAACTTATTGATTTGATATGCCTTCTAATTCAAGTGTGAATTTGAGAAATTATTTTTCTATGTTGAAATATGTTAAGTGTTGATGACCAAATCTGTCATGTGTTTTGCTTGTGGCTCGTTTGTTGTCTTTCACTTGCTTTTATGTGAACTCAAATATGTGGTTTGATCGAGTCTAAGTCCAAGTGTTCCCATATCGACAGAACTTCACGAACCACATGGTCGAACCGAGTTCGGCTAAGTAAACTTGTGAATTTGATATATAGGTCTAGATTAAAGTGTTGACTTTAGTATCTGGACTTAATGTAGGTGTCGAGAGGTGTTGAACCTCACCTCGTCTCGAGATTTGTGATTTGAACTGTTGCTGCTATCAGGTGGGTACATTTATGATGTATTCCATATTTATCGCACTTATTATTTCGTGTAATGTTTCTTTTGAAAATTATTGTATGCATGAGAACTCTAGTCTAAGTGTCCCGAACGATAGTGCCTTTGATGAATGCGAAAGCAGTGGAAGTCGCCTGCCCGTTGTATCCGGGAGGTGGATGCCCGAATCCGTGTAGAGCGGAGGGGATTGTCTGAATACTCGAATCCGTGTAGAGCGGAGGGGTGATTCAACTTCACTGTCTCCTGGAAAGGATCCCATTTACCGTCGTATCCGGGGGTGGGAAGGTTTCCAGTTACAGTCTTGTCGTCGTATCCGGAAGGTTGTTGAATGTACATAGGAGGTTTGCGATAGGGCCGGGTAGGGGGTTTAGGCTATGAATTCTATGCATACCGATATTGATATTGTACATTGCGATTATTTGGATGTAAACCTTTTATGCGGAATAATCGTGCGATAATGGTGAGCTAGTTGGTTGCTCACCCCCATTGTTTTTCTGTTGTTGTCTCCTCTTCCTTTCTTTAGGTTGAGCTGAGTTGGTGGCGGTGGCGTAAAGACGAGCGAGAGGATGGTTGTTGGTCAAATTACGTTATCGCTATATTATGCTTCCGCCTGTTTATGATCTGCTGAACTGATACTTGACTTGATTTATTGTTCCCGCTTGGATTTGGATATTTTATTATGTGCTTATATCCCTGCTTTGATTTTGGATACTGACTATGTGTTATGCATGAACTTGTTACTTAATTATTTTCTTGCTTCCGCTTTCGAATTATGTATAAGTTTGGTTGAACCTTGTTTCATGCTAGACCTATTTGAATGTTTTGAGACTTATGAATTTAAGGGATAAATTTATATCGTTAGTCCGAGTATGTGTAGGGTCTTTTGTTTGATGGATGTGTTTATCTGATGTCATTAGCAAGTAGCGCCCGTTTCTCGTTAAATGTTTTTAATTTAAAATTAAAAAAAAAAAACTCTGATTTTTATTATATAAATTCGGTAAATTCTTTAAAATAAAACGGGGCGTTACATGTACCTTCTCCAAATTACGTAGATGAGAAGTCGACGTGCCCTCATCCATTTCCCCGTAATAACGAGTAAAATCCTTAAATTGTGTGACCAGTGTAATTGCCTCCAACGATAAATGCAAATACACAACGGACATAGAAGGAGATATATAAATCCACTCAAAAGCACTATCGTTATCGAGTCTTCCGGCAGTCCACGAACCATCGCGTTGAAGAAACATTAAAGTAATCGCTTGAATTGTCCAACCTTCTCCAAACTGACAATTTTCATTAATCATCTGTACCAATTGTTCATATGATATCCTCCCCGTAATAACAAATGAACCATCCGGACTATCCATAAATGAAATAAAATCTCTTAACTGTTCCCTCGCAAATCGTCAATACAAATTAACAAAATATGGACCACAATACGCCATTTATACCTGTTGCAAACAAAAACTTTTAATTCTTCCCAATTACAACAACACATAATGTGTAATTCAACACCCAAAAAATTCAATTATTCTTTAAACCCATCTTTTTACTCTAACGAAAAAACCAAAAAAAATATTCCCAATTGATTAATCCTCCAAAACCCTAATACCCATAATCCAACAATAACATACAATTTACCTATATTTCGAATAAATTGGAAGCTCTAATTCTAATTCTAACCCTAATTTCAAAAAACCCTAAGCCCAACAACAACCAACCGATACACAATTGACAATTTAGAACAAAATTCTAATCTCAATTCAACATACACACGTAATCGATAAACAATTAACAATTCACAATCTTCAAACACCACCACATTCAAATATACTATAACAATTACCAATTTTCAAACAACTCCAAACAATGTCAAAAGTTGAGATAAGCCAATATACCTCATGCGAATGACTTAACCAGAAATGAGGTTCGGGTTGTTGTTGTCGATTCACGTCGGGGTGGCGATTGGATTGAGGTTTTTTTTTTCGATAAGCTCTCGCAATTTTTCTGAAGAAAATGAGGTTCAGTCGCGCAAATGAAATGGGGAAGAAGAAGAAGATTTGTGATTTTATTTCAATTGTTGAACGTATTCATAGAATACGTTTTATAGCTATTTAATTATAAAACGTATTTATAAAATACGTTTTTATTTATTTTTTTTAGAAAATTTCATTTAAAAATATATAATAATTATACGTTTTTTAATATTTTTAATATTTTTTATTTAATTAAAAACGTAATTATAATATACGTTTTCAAATATTTTTTTTAAATTTAAATTTTATGAATTAAAAGCGTATTAAACAGATCCGTTTTTCTAAACCCAAAAATCAATCAGTTTAGGGTTTTAAAAAATAGATTCGTTAAATACGGTTTATAATTATTAATTTCTTTTCAATTCGACTCTTTTTAAAAGGAAATAAATATTTTGAAAATTATTCAAAATTAAATATAAAAAATATAATTGGAATCCGTTTTTCTAATAAAATGTTATTAGAAAAACGGATTCTTATAATACGTCCTTTTTATTTTTTTCCACTCCTTTTTTTTTCTTCACTTATTTTTTTTTAAATAAATAAACCAACCTAGTACCCGCATGGTGTGCCTGTAGCATTTTGCTATATGCTATTTTATGCAATTATTACTTGTTTTTATATTTTTATTAATTTTTTTAATTTTCTTTCACTTTTCATCATGATTTCATAATAGAATTCTGAATTTGTAATTTCATGTAAAATATTATGTGCATCGACTACCGGGATTTGAACCGGTTGACGGTGAAGAACAAATATCCGCTTCCTAGAATTGAGGACTTATTCGATCAGCTGAGGGGAGCCAGTGTCTTTTCCAAGATCGATCTCCGCTCTGGTTACCATCAGCTGAATATCAAAGAGGCCGACGTGGCCAAGACCGCTTTCAGAACTAGATACGGTCATTATGAGTTCGTAGTGATGCCGTTTGGCTTGAGCAATGTGCCAGCGGTATTCATGGATCTCATGAACCGTGTCTTCCACCCATTCCTGGACCAGTTTGTCATCGTCTTCATTGACGACATCTTGGTCTATTCCAGCAGTCCAGAGCAGCACGAGGAGCACTTGAGGATAGTTTTGGAGACACTTCGACGGGAGAAGTTGTATGCCAAGTCCTCGAAGTGCGAATTTTGGCTCGATCGAGTGGCTTTTCTAGGCCACATCGTTACTTTTAGAGGGATTGAGGTAGACCCGAGCAAGATTGAAGCAGTTCGGAACTGGTCGACGGCGAGAAATGCCACCGAGGTTTAGAGTTTTCTCAGTTTGGCAGGCTATTATAGACGTTTCATCGAGGGTTTTTCAAAGATTGCCCTATCCTTGTCACGTTTGACAAGGAAATTGGTGAAGTTTGAGGGGGATGATCGTTGTGAGTCGAGCTTCCAGGAGCTCAAAGCGAGGCTTACGACGGCCCCAATGT